TTYYTTTYYYYTTTTTTTACAAAAATGTATTTTATATTAAAAGCGTCTATTAGACCYCTTTCGACAGCTTGTCTGTTATGGTAATATAAAGTAGTGGCTCCGTTAAATTAGTTTAAATGGAAGATGTCGTTAATAATTGATGACGTTCAACTAGAACGCAAGCAACTGAACGTCCTCGAAATTACGTCATCCCAAGATTCACWTTGATATCTTGTATTGCTACTTAAAATGTTTCCAAACCGTTCAACAGCTTTGCTGAACGCTGTAAAACAGTGTTGAACGATGTTGAATGGTTATGCCCATTCAAYATTTGCTTCAAAATTCGCGCGAGTTTAACGGCCAAGTTTGTACGTGGCTGTCAAAATATATAAATTGCCCTCCACTATAATTGAAAGTTCTGGTGCATTCATGTTACATTCATGCACGTTACATACATACATGTTGCATTCATGCACGTTATTGCAGCTAAATGTATTTTTTAATAATGAATTACACATACAATACCATGCTAAGTCTAGTATAATTTTCGAACAATTTTTATCAAAAAATTGAAAAGTCACCAATATAATCAAAAAATTAAAGTACATCATTATAACCTGCCTAATTATAAGTGTTTTTGCTTATTATTGCCTTTGAATTATTTCATGTTTGAGAGCTTKCAAGTTTCTGTTTTGAAGACCACAATGCTGGAACCAATGAATAAGTGTGTGGACAATTCAAAGGAAAAGTTTTCCAATGCGAAAAAAAAGTTATTTCAAAGAAATACAGAGTAGCCCACTTTTAAGTAAAAAAAAGACGGTTATAAAAACATRGAAAAAACATATCCAATTATTTATTCTTAGAGTTCTTTCCTACGACCACATCATCCCAGTCGGGATAAAAAAGCTCTTTCATTTGTTCCGTGTGATCATCAAGGTTCTTCAACTGCGTCAAAATCAGTTTTCCTTGTGTTGAGTTTGGCGCCGTGAAGATAAAGTTACTCACAAGCGAGAATAGAGCGGCATCAGCAAGACAGGGTTTGTCTCCAAACAAAAATCTCTTTTCGCCAAGAATTGATGAGACAGCTTTCAGATCTTTTTCAGCTATCCCATAAATCTCTTCGGGAGTGTGACGCCCGATTCCATGRCCGTACAGCTCGCTTTTAAGGGTTCTCTTGTATGACCAAAACACAGGAATCCTGATTGGAAGTGGTAGATTAGCAAAGGCCAGGTCMCGTATTTCGTTAGCATGTTCACTGCACCATCTGTARTGAACTAGGGTCCTGTARAGAACAGACAAAAAACGTGTCATCAAATTTCGAAAAATCTCGTGTGTGCATGCTTAGTCCTGGACTGACCCTCATCGTCGAACGACGCTGCGTGAATCGACACGGAGTCGTTCCTTYGTGGACTGAAAGAATACTCTATTTTAAGGCCCGTTTACAGTTTTGCGATTTTTGTTTGCTTCGAACATGCTTGAAATTTAGCTGCAACTCGTTTACACTAACGATTTGAGGTGCGCGAGAACAAAGTGTCGATTGCCGCGCGACAATCGCACTGCAAAAATCGCAAGTGTAAACATGCCTTTACAGTTCCAAGCGCCATCTTGAAAGGTGCTGGTGCATTTGCATCAAAACGAGACATGAGTTRAGCCTGCAGTGCTATATACCTTTTATTCACATCTAAGACAATTACCGACAAAAGGTATCATCTATCACTGCAAGCTCAACTGCTGTCTCGCTTTGATGCAAAGGCTCGGCTACCTTTCAGGATGGCGCTGGTAAAATTTAGCATTCTTATTTATTTAAAGATGTTTAAAGTTCAATTACACTTGGAAAGCACCTAAATACCTTTTTAGAGAAACAATTTGTTATGGAGTTAACCCAAATCAGAGCACATTTTGCCTCAAAATAGGAAAGAATAAAATCTCTAAGAAATTGTACCAATATGTCATGCTTCTTGTTTTTAGAACCCTTGTATTGATAAGCCTTCAAGACTTTCATGCATCATGAATTATATTTTGTCATTTTTCATCCCTAGTAGCAAAGTGTTAAAAATAACAAAACAATAGCAGTTCTTGTATACGACATGGACAACTTCATGCATGCTCTCGAGAGACAATACAGTCAATAT